GACTACATGGGAGTTCAGTGATGTAACCATTATGCCATCTGTTGGTCCTGAGAAAATAATTTCTCTAGAAAAGTGATGCAACCTAATTTTTTAAAATAATTTTTTAAAGAATTATTTTAACTGTATTTATTTTAATTTGATCAGAGAGGGAGAGAGAGAAAGGAAGGGAGGAGGGGAAGAGGGAAGGAGGAAGGGAGGCAGGCGAGGGAGGGAGGGAGAAAGGAAGGAAAGAAAGGGAAGTGAGGAAGCAAGGTTGCCCATGTGAGAGTCCAGTGCCCTTAACATGCCACCTGCTGGCCTCGTAACCTAATTGTTACTAGTATAGATCTTGGAGCTAGGCTAGCTATGTTCAAATTCTGATTTTCTCTTTTAGTAGTTTTGTAACCTTGGGTTTATTTTCTGTGAGCCAGAGTTTCCTTATATGTGAAATGAGGCTATTGATAATATGTGCTCATTGGGATAATTTGTGTGAAATCCTTAGAAAAGTGTTTGAGTATGGTAACTATCTTTCAATTAGCAATAATCGCACCTCGGATAAACCTCATTGGCTACGATACTGCCACTGCGCAAAGCTGAGTATGGTAACTATCTTAATTAGACTCTTGTGAGTATGATTACTAAGACAGAAAATGTGAGCACTTTAAGAGCTATTAATACATGTTGTCAGATCTTATTCAATCCATTAAACTAATTATATAAATATTACTACAGCAGTACATTATATTTGTATTTCAGAAATAGGGGGCAGGACTGTCTGACTCAATTATCACCTCTTCTTACAACCTTTTCCTTTTTTAGGGCAAAGAACAAGAGCATACATTTGTCTTTAGACTGGATCATCCAAAAGCATGCAAACATTTGTGGAAATGTGCTGTGGAGCATCATGCCTTTTTCCGTCTCCGAGGCCCTGTTCAAAAAAGTTCTCATCGATCAGGGTTTATTCGACTAGGATCACGATTTAGATACAGGTTTATTTTATTATCTGCTTTCTTTATCTTTCTTTCTTTAGTATAGAGGCCAAAATATTGAGGCCAGCCTTGTCATTTGTCAGTTGTGGTAAGGTGTAAACAGAAGAACTGACATTCCTTATCCAAGATGGTCTGGCCCAGTGTATTTCAGATTTTAGACTTTTTTTTAACTTTGGAGTATTTCCTGTGCCTGTTGTGATATGGGGATGGGACTGAAGTCTAATGATGAAATTCATTTGAGTTTCATATGTACTTTGGGCACCACGTCTGAAGGTTATTATGTACAGTATTTTCTGTATTACAGTATTTTGATCGTGACCCTCATCTGAGGTCAGGCATGGAATTTTTCACTTGTGGCATCTTGTTGTTACTGAAAGTGTTGGATTTTGAAGCATTTGGGTTTGGAGCTGTCAAATTAGAGATGCTTAACCTATATTGTTATTGGTTGTATTCTATCTAAACTGAAAGTGGGGAGGCAAGGCCAGTAGGAGGTGTGGAGGTTAAGGTGCTAGATCTCACATTGCTCACTCTGTGTACCAAGACCTGGACCCAGCAGCTTGAAAACTATGCCAGGTATATATGGATGCATGCATATGCCCAAATCCCAAGAGGAAAGTGGAGGAGAAAGGATTGTGGTGGTCCCCTCTGCGGAGTGATTTCTCAATTTCCCTCTTTCTGTCTTTCTCTCTGGTGATTGTACACACCTTATAGTCCCTCCCTCCAAAAAAAAGTGGGGAGACATTTTCTTAATAGGCATTAAGTGGAAATCAAAGATAGAATGGCAATAGTTTTTTAAATACTTCTGAAAATCTTTTTTTTTTTTTTTTT